CTGGCGTTGTCCTGAAAGACCTCAAGGGACATGTCAGGAAGTTGGAGGTGAAAGGAGGAAGTTGGTGTGAAATATCACTAGATATCCTCCAGCGTACAGCAATCTTGGGCACGGCCAGGATCCTTCGCCGTGTCCTTCAGAATTGCGAGAAGGCGAGTATGAGGTCTGGGATGTGGTTCATTCCTCCTCATATCTCCAAAATGCCGGCAGGTGCCGTGGAAGGTTTTATTTATATATATATGCTATGGTCGTGCCTTCGGCGCTCCATTACCTTCGATAGTGATTCATTCATTCATTTTTTGCAAAAAGGGAAAAACGTATTTAAAATACGTCGGCATTGAAATACGTGACATATCGGGGCGAAAGTCTTGATCTTTATCAAAATGATTACTTCTACGATTCAATGTGTGCCTAACTTGAAACCTTTCCTTGTGCTCCTTTTAGTGCGGGTGAAGTATACATTTTGAAACACTTCCCTCCAATAATCTACGCTAAGGAGCTCAAATGTCAAATGTAAAAAATAAAAAACATATATATACACATATATATCTTTTTTTGGGTGTTGGACAAATTTCTTGGCGACGTAAAGTTGTCTAAGAATTTTTCACATCCCAGCGAATCGGACAGAGTTATAAAAGGTGCAGCCGGCGCAGTCATAAGGGACGTGATGTTGATTTAAGGAAAATTTCAGCTTTTGGTGTGCATCTCCTCAGAGCACAGCTATTGGATTTGTCGCTTTTCTAAAATACATTTTTTTTCCGCCAACAAAAAGAAGAAGCGTATTAGGCTGAAACTGGGTGGCATAGAATTCCATTAGTCTACATTTCATTAGAAATAAAGTTTTCGTTAAAACCAATCAGGGCACTTTCTTACAATCCCATTTTCCTGAATTTTTTTGAATCAACGAAAAAAAGATAGTAAATTTAAAATTCCCTCAGGAGTACCTGTTCGATTGCTGAGTGCAGGAAAAGTCTACATGTGAAATATGTCCCCTTAGCGTAGATTATAAGAGGGAAGTATTTCCAAATGTATTCTCTACCATTACAAAAAAGGATACATGACATGATTTCAAATTAGGCACACTAGAAATAATCGAAGTAATGATTTTGATGAAAATGAAGAATTTCGTCCCCATATGCCACGCATTTTAATGGAGTCGTACGTAAAATATGTGTTTACAATTTCGCAAAGTATAAATGAATTGATCAATATCCAAGTGAATGGAGCGCCGAAGGCGCGGCCATAGCGAGTTTTTTTGCCCGAAGGGCAAACAAACTCGCTATAGTCGCGCCTTTCATTTTATTATTTCATTTATTCTTTTCGAAATAGCAAACACGTATTTCAAGTATGTCCCCATTGAAATACGTGACATATGGAGTCAAAAGTATTGATTTTTACGAAAATCATTACCTCTATGGTTATGTGTGCCTAACCTGAAAACTTTCCTTGTGCCCCTTTTTCTAAGGGTGGAGTATACATTTTGAAATACTTCCCTCCAACAATCGACGCCAAGGAGACATATTTCAAAATTAGGGTTTTTCATCTACTCAGCCATCAAATAGGTACTTCTGAAAGTAGTTTAAATTTTCTGCCTCTGGATAAAAAAATGAGGAAAATGGGACTGCAAAAAGTGGTCTAATGGGCTTTAAATAAATTTTTTTTATTTTGAAATGTAGATTCAGGGAACTCCATACCACCCAGTTTCAGCCTTAAACGTTTCCCCTTTTTGCTGGCGGGAAAAAAATGTATTTGGAAAAGCGACCCAACCAAAATTTTCCTCTGAGGAGACATATAAAAAAAGGTGACTTTTTCCTTAAATGAACATCACGTCAGTGATGCGTGCGCCAGCTACTTTTCTATGTCTGCCCTGTGAACTACATGCTCACACAGTTTCAACATTATACATTTGTCCTTTTCGCTGGAACAAAAACATACTTGGAAAAGATGACCCACCCAAGAACCATGCCCACAGGGGATGCCCCATGAAAACTTAATACTGCTTCAACTCAGTAATATCGTCACATATACGTGTGCTAAGTTTCACGTTTCTATTTCTGTCCAATTCGCCAAAACAACTTTTTTTTTCAAAACATCGCTCCTCGAAAAAATTCCCCCGGGGTATGTATCGAGACTGAACATTTTTATTTAATTATTTGTCTCAGTAGTCACATTCATGCAAAGTTTCAGCATTTCAAATTCATTAGTTTAACTGATGCAACGAAATTAGTTGAAAACATCTCCCTTTGAAATGAGTGCCCCCTGGGCATTTACTTCTAAAGTCTGAAGTTTTCTGCAGCATCCCAACACGTTGTTATGTACCAAGTTTCATCTTTCCACACTAGCTCAATACATCAGGACAAAAAAATACTTGAAGACGTCGGTTCGCAAAAATATGCCTCGAGGGCATGAATCTAAATTTTTTTTCTTTTTCATGAACTCATCGTCTCAGTAGGCACGTCTATGCCAAGTTACAGCTTTCCATGTCTCTCCGTTTTACTCAAGCAAAAATAATATTATCGAGGGGAATTGAGTAACGGGACAAGAAAGGCAAAAAAAGTCAAAAGAAAGCCACGGCGTGGCCAGGCATTGAAGCGGGAACTTTCTTATTTTTAGTTAGAGGTGCTACTTCTACACCACCGAACAAAGGACATCCAATTGTCTCTCCAAGTGCCATGCTCATCTGTCACGAAATATATTTAAGAAAAAAGTTGTCTGCCAAAATGTGTACCCCCAGGGCATGTACCTCTAAAGTGGGAATTTTTCTGAACTCTGCATCCCAAAAGGTACATGTGTACCAATTTTCAGATTTCTAGCCTTTCTGGAACATGGTTTGAATTAGCGTCAGTCAGTCAGTCAGTCACGATCGTCTATATACGAGGGGCAGTCAAATGAAACGTAGCGGATGAAAATTTCAGACATTGAAATCAACTTACATGTTAATAATCACCATGGTTGGCAAGGCACTTCTTCCATTGTGAAACCAGACGACGGATACCCTGTTCAAAAAATTCCTTGGGCTGGGATCGAACCCACTCGCAAACAGCCTCCTGCACCGCTGCGTCCGACGGAAATTTCCTGCCTTTCAGATTCTTCTTGAGGTCTCCAAAGATGTGAAAATCGCATGGCGACAAGTCTGGGCTGTAGGCCGGTTGCTCCAGTATTTCCCACCGGAACCAAGTCAGCTTTTCTTTCGTTACCTTCGCCTTATGGGGGCGCGCATTGTCGTGTAACAAAATGACACCCTTTGTCAAGAGACCTGGGCGTTTGTTTTTTATTCTGGTACGCAGATTCCCAAGAGCGATCACATACTGCTCCGCATTAATTGTGCGGCCATGTTCCAAGAATTCCACAAGCATAGGTCCCTTATGATCAAAGAAAAATGACAACATGACTTTCCCTGCACTGGCCTCTGTCTTGAATTTTTTGGGAGGAGGGGATGACACGTGCTTCCACTGCATGCTTGATCGACGAGTTTCTGGCTCGTAATGGTGACACCAGCTCTCATCACCTGTCACAATACGATTCAGGAATTCGTCACCCTCCTTTTCGTATCGACTGAGATGCTGCTGGCACAGTCGAACGCGTTCCGCCTTCTGTTCTTCAGAAAGGTGTCGAGGTACCCATTGGGCGCAGACTTTCCGATACGCAAGCCTTTCATGGATAATGGTGTGGACACTGCCATGACTGATCC